ATAGTGCAAAATATATATTAAAGGGACACTATAGTCACCTGAACTAAAGCTTGTTTTATTTGCTGTGGCGAGTATTATCATTACCTTCAGGCTTTTTGCTGTAAACACTGTCTTTTCAGAGAAAATGCAGTGTTTACATTACAGCCTAGTGATAACTTCACTGGCCACTCCTGAGATGGCTACTAGAGGTGATCACGTTTGGATAGACTTTTAGGGGTTGTTCCCCTTACCCACTATTTGCTATGTCACTCATCTTCCACACTAATTAATCTAAAATGTTGCACATTACCAGAAAGCTATGGGTGACACCACATTACGAACAATTCATCCAGGGGGCTTTAATCGCTTGTATATTACATACAGACTCTTGGCTCTAAATGGACAAACGCTTTCCACCCCATGTTAAGAGATATTGTGAATTACATTTCATCAAACCTAGCCCACTTTGTTTTGTAAAGTTTACTAAAATAGGGTGGAAAGTGGGCTAAGGTTTGATTAAACGTAATTCGCAACATCTTCAAAACCAAATCAGCACAAACAAACAGTGTATTTGTTTTGAAAATGTAATAAGCAGTGTAAATAAACCATTTGTTCGTGCAGCAAACACAATCATCTGTGCTGCTTTGATTTCTGAGACATCGTGCATTATCTTATCAAATCCTGCCCATTTTGCACCCCATGTTATAAACGTTTGTATGTACATTGTTTCACTATGAAATGCTGCACATAATGAGTATAAACACTGTGTAGTGGTTGACGCCAGAAGTGCCCTCCTGTATTGGGACAAACAATTTAGCAATGGTTTGCCACCTTACCTGGGTCTCCGCCAGGCTCCAAGGCTCCCTGGCGGTCTACTGACATGTCCCCTGATTTTGTAGAGCTGTAGAAGCCGCAGCCATCGCCATTCATTGGCTGAGTGCCGACTGACTGCTCTAAGCCAATGGCTGACTTTCTGAACAATGCAACTTGCCATCCTAGATCTCTAGTCCCAGGCTGATGACACCCTGATGATGCTGCCTGAGGAAGAATTACACTTCTAGAAGCACAGGTGTTAAACGGTTTCAATGCAAAAGACTCCAGACACCATAGCATAGCCACTTCAAACCACTGAGTGGTCTCTGTGCCCAAATTAATCCTTTATCTTAGATAACCCTGTGTATCGCGTATTAAATGGTAGGTTGCTGTGTTAACCCCTTTTAGGCAACATTAAACTGGTGCTATTTTTATCCCTGGTTTCCTTTATTTTTCCCTGAAAAGTCACCCAGAAATTGTCACAGACCAGCAAATCGCAAACTGGATGGAGGTCACAAGGTCTAAAATCGGTCATATCAGAAGTCAAAGCTACACAAATGTCTGAGACGCCAATTGTGACAGAACCATCTGTATGTCTATTGTGGTGGATTCGTCTATTTTGCCCTTTCATGTAAATGGCTGTTTCTATAGCCCAGCCATACGAATGACTTTGTTTTACCGAACAAACCTACCAAACGGATGGCCACCCAGGATAGAAGTGTGCTGCTGGTTAACGTCTTGATCCCAATTAGAACGTTGTGGTTAACCGCAGACACTTCTCAATTAAACCGAATTCAGGGTGGCCGTTGTTCGCATGTCGACCACGAGGCAGCGGCCATTTTAAAACACACGAAAGACCAGCGGTGTTCGGCACTGATTTCATGGAACTAAAAACGGACACTTTTTCTGCCGAACACCGCTGAAACAACGGGTCACCTGGCTGCCCCGACGAAAGCGTACGAACACCGGCCGTTCGGGAGTTTTACATCACACGAAAAGACTTAACCCAGATAGCCTTCCCATGGAGTCAATCGCATACCGAAAGACTGTAAGGACTTTGACTCCATGGCGATTGAACTATGCGTATGGGATCTGAGCGCTATCTGGTGATATGTGATGCGAATGTGAAATGTTCGGTTGTTATAAGGTTATATATTTTTATGTATTTTCTGGTCTTTTACTTAAAATGGCGATGTGTCTTTGTCCTGGAGATAATTGAATTACTTCCCAATTATCTCCAGGGCAGAGGGGAGGAAACCATACTGTATTGTGGGAAAAGCTTGTGACTGTATATCTGTTATGTCCTCATGTCCATCTGTAATTCCAGTCTCCCATTTGGTCCCCTAGGGGAGTGTCCACCAAGTGGAATACCTGCATAAATACGGGCAGGTAGCCCACAATAAAGCCAGATCCTGTTTGACCCTCAATGCAGAGCTTTGTCCTGTTATTGGGGGGATTTATTACTGATGCCTAGAGACTGATTACAGGAACCGAAAGCCGCTTAGTGGATATCTTTGTTTGGCGGTTAGCGGATTTCTGTTTGGGAGTTTGGAGCCTTTCACGGATCCCGGTCGGGAGATTACCGCTTCCCCTGATGGTGGTTCGTATACTGCAGTCTATGCGAACAGAGTTACTGATATTGCGAAAGGGGAAGGTTAACTAAACGGCGGTTTCTCTTAAAGACACCAGGGGTGTCTTAACACCAATTCAGCACAAATTGAAAATGTGCATTCCCATTTTAATTACAGTGATCAAATTCATGGCCATCTCTCTCAAACCATAGGACACAAAATGTTCATTGTTGCGGCACAAACAAATTGTGTATTTTTTTTTTTTAAATCAGAAAACGGGGTGCAATTGTGGGGCGGGGTTTGGTTTTGGAGAGATTGCGCCTTGTATTTAATCAAATCATAATGTGATAATGAACGGTGTCATTTTTTTCTAATATTAAAAACATGAGGTGCCAACTTCGCACAGCTATAACTGGGAGTATTATTGCTGTGGAGCTCTGTTATACACACAGACACACCAACAATACAGAGCTCTTAGAAAAGAGGGACATTAGGATAAGAAAGAGGGATTTGGGCACAAATTATAGATTATCCCTCCTAAATAATGAACGTTGGGAGATATGGAGGATGGTATTCCATTCTTAACAGTAGAATTTGCTCTGACATATGGCTTTACTATTTTAACTATATTAATGGTACAAATACAGTTAAAGTAATTGACATTCATTTTAATGAACACTGAAAGCTTACTCAGACAAATCTACTACATTCTCAATTAGCTCAATGGTCTCAAGATATGTTTTTGCATCTGCAGTTTAAGTTTGTTTTTTTAAGTATTGAGCTGAACCTGTCTCAATGTCTGAAAGTTAGTTGCCTGTACTAGTTTGAGGCAGTTCATGACATGTTAAAGGGACACTAGTCACAAAACAACTTTAGCTTAATGAAGCAGTTTTGGTGTATAGATCATGCCCCTGCAGTCTCACTGCTCAATTCTCTGCCATTTAGGAGTTAAATCACTTTGTTTATGAACCCTAGCCACACCTCCCTACATGTGACTTGCACAGCCTCCCTAAACACTTCCTGTAAAGAGTCATCTACAGTTTAGCCTTCCTTTATTGGAAGTCCTGGTTAATTTAGTTTCTTATCCCCTATGTTAATAGCTTGCTAGACCCTGCAAGAGCCTTCTGTATGTGATTAAAGTTCACTTTACAGAGAAAGATACAATTAATGTAAATTACATCTGATTGAAAGTGAAACCAGGTTTTTTTTTTTAACCATGCAGGCTCTGTCAATCATAGCCAGGGGAGGTGTGGCAAGGAGTGTATAAACAAACAAAGTGATTTAACTCCTAAATGGCAGGGAATGGAGCAGTGAAACCTGAGAAGCATGATCTATACCAGGGGTAGGCAACCTACGGCACTAGTGCCATGCACGGCACTCAAGGCTGCTAGAGCCAAACAGGCTCTGGCTATCAGGAGACCAAGTAAAACTTCAGATATCTGCTAATACGAAGAGGTGGTGAAGGACAATCCTCAATTTATGCATTGCAGCACATAGAGGAAGTGATCTCAGATCACTTCCTCCCGGCACTTGTGAATAGGAATCCACACTGTAGTAGAGCAACCCGCAGCTGCTGTTGCAGCTCCTGTCCTTGACCTGTGCCTGGCCAGCCTGATCCCCACTGGAACCCAGGGAAGCCACCCACACTGCTAGATAAACACAGAAATGGATAATAACAATAACAGCCCACACACAAACGCAACACCACTAACAACCCACATACATGCACACAACCACACACGCAGCCTCTCACGTGCAATACCCTAAACAGCCCCACACATACAAAGCAATTACAGTAAAAATAACAAGCAGAATACGGCAACATGCACACGCTGCGGGACATCACAATCCTATATCGGCAAAGTGCTGCTAAAAGGTTGCCTACCCCTGATCTATACACTAAAACTGCTTCATTAAGCCAACGTTGTTTAGGTGACTAGTGTTCCTTTAAAATGATTCATGCCTTAAAGAGAAAGTATGTCTTATTACAGCTCCAGGGAGATTGACTGCAGCTTCTCATTTTCGTAGACCATTTGATGTGTTTGGAGTACCTAAAACCTGACCCTCTCCAGCTGCTGAGCGAATGCAGAAATTTTAAATCTGCGTTATGCAAATTACAGATACATTTACACAAGATGGGTAAGGAGTGTTGGAGTGGCGATTTCTTAGTGGTCGGAGGCGTAACGGTTACATGGCACGGGTTTTATAGCGTGGAACCCGCCTCCTCCTTAGTGAGGTGCACCCACTTTCCCTTTTCTTACCTTGACAGGAAGAGCTGGAGTAGAACATGACATTCCAGCATCAGTACAGGACGTGCGAGCGAGATGTACACTAAGACCGGAGAGATTTCTAGCTGCCCCCTTGCCAACTTTACTACAGCACCAGATTATTCACTTGCTGCACGGGACCCCCCTTCTCCACCAGTATTCTGCCGGTGAAACATGGGTGCTCTATATCTGTGCGACCTCTCACCTGGGGCAGGCAGCGACCACCGCCCCAATTCATACACTACGGTTAATACGTACGGTGTTTAAAGTGCTTCTTAAAGGCTGTTCATAATACAGCAAGACAGTTGTTAATCTTAATAGTATTAATATTGGAGCCCTTAAGGATTCAATAAGAATAAAGCAACAAGCATTTTGGAAAGCAATTTCAAACCTTTATTTACAACTGTCACAGTGACAAAAAAAGTTTGAGAAAAACAAAAAAACAAAACAAAGCTAGCTTCTCCCTGAGCCTCAAAAATTACATATATATACTATTTTACAACAGAATTTACTGGAGTGCTTTTTGTTCGCAGATACATCAGTAACAAATTGAAAAATACAATAATCTCAAACAAGATGGAGACACAAACGTTTAAAATCAGGAGTAGGTTTTGTTCCCCCACTTGCAAGTCATACAGTCTCAGGAGTGCCATTTCGATTTTCATCCTGTGTGGCACAGCTTGGGAACAAGTAGGTGACAAGTTAAGTTCCATCTGCAAGTGGCATTCCGTAACACCCTTCAGTTGAGAACATGACCACTGTATCACACTCCGGCTTTGAGAGCACATGGATTGTGTTAAAATCCCAGGCCATCGAAGGCCCAAATGACATGGTCAGTCACTAGACACTATGAAGATAACGGGACCAGAATTACAAAACAGACACCCCATTGGTCTGGACTGAAGACATTTTTCTTGGTGACAAAGTTTGAAGATGCAGATGAGAATAAAAATACTTCTACCTCCAAAGACTTCCTACACGTGTCACTAGAGAACACAAAGCTTTACATTTTGCATTTATCATTCAAAGCACAGACAAGTTATTGCTATAGATTACTGAAAGATCGGATTAGGCAGACCTAAAAACAGTTTGTGGATAGCAATATTTCCTTTGTAGCCCAGAGCATTTCAAACATTTTTTTTTTTTTTTTACTTTCAGCTCAATGAACGCTGAAAAAATATGTATAAAGGAAGCATGAACCAGAATGTGACTAGTCTATTGTGTGCAAGATAAATAATGGCCTCTTGAAAGACTGTCCATTTTGTGCAATGTATGTGGGATACTGATGAATGAAATGGATGTTTATTTTTAGGTCTGTCAGCACCCATCAGATGCATCCATCACATGAATACACGCACAGGGGACTTTTTCGAAGAAACAATTTAAACGTCCCTGAATTTTCTACTGTACACAGCAAACCAAACACAAAAATGCTTTGATGATTTAATGCTACTTTAAGAAATATATCTCTTAATCTACACTGTTAGACAACAATTTCTTGCATATCCCAAAAAAAAAATAATTTCTATAGGTGCAGTAAGTCCTACAATTTTTTTTACCCCAGTTTTGGCAAGTATCTTCATTTGCACTACATTGACAAAAAACACAAACTTTTTTCACAATGGTGAAATATCCCTAATATCGTCTGATCCCTGTCAGACTATGAAAATGCATATGTGCGCAGGATAGCCATCTTCGAAAATCTGACATGCTGAGTGGGCACGTATGGTGTGAAGTGGAACACTATCGAATTTGTCATTGGAACAGGAAGCTCTGTAATGACCGGCAATACCAGAAAATTAATCTCCAACACTGCTAGATCCCAAGCACATATTCTCCATGTCAAATTTGGAAGCAAATTAGAAAAACAAATGCATGAAATGACATTGGGTCCCTTAGAAGGGTTTCCATACATGTCTAGCCATGGAGACAAAACATGACATTATCTCCAAGTTAATCACTTGTCTATGGTACCATCGTAAAGGTGACTCATGTGCCAGGCTGAATAATAAAGGTCAAGATATTTCACCGCCTCTAAGCTTCACTTACAATAGGACAATTCCCTTCTAAGTGATATCCCCCCCATCCCTAAACAGTTTCTCAAAATTTGCTTTATTCTTGCAGCTAAAGAAAATTAACATTAAATTTGCATTCTTTGAAAGAAAAAAAGAAAAAGAAAGGTCCATTCATTGCTTGCTGCTGTTGAAGTGCACTCTATGGTTAATTCCTGCCTTTGATGCCTTGTGGGAATATGAGCGCTACTTCTAGGATCAGAAAAAACCCAACTCAGATCGCAATCTCTAAATAATGGAATATAATGGAGAAAAAAAAAATATATAAAGCAAACATTTCTTAGAAGACTTCCTGCTTTTGATCACATGACGGCTGTATTTTCTCACAAGGAAAAAAAAATCTCACAGGTGCATCTTTGAGTTTGTCATCTTTAACAGAAAACCTCTAACGGATTCATAGTCACGCCATTTTGTGGCCATTTCCTCCTTCACACGACAATAGATTTAAGATCGGATGCAGGTCTGCCATTACTGCTCCTGGCTAGTTTCCTTCTTTGTTTCAACGCAGTCATCCTTTTCCTCCTCCACAACAAATTCCTCTGGAGGCCATCGCAGCTCACCACTCTCTACATCTCCTTCTGTAGGCTCCACGACAATCGAAGGCAGTCTGTCCTTCAGTTTGCAACATCGCTCAAAATCAGAAGGATCTGGGAAAATCTAAGAGGGGGGGGGAAAAAAAATATCGAACAATTAATGCATATGAAACAAGAACAGATTTACTTTCTATACATATTACCAAGATTTCACATACATTTATAAGAAAAACAAAAAACAAAACCTCCATTGATCCAATTAATATAGAAGCACTACAGCATGGGCACACAACATTTGGCCTCCAGATATCATCTACCCCTGAAGCTTTACCAGCACTATGAAAGGTCCACATGTTCAAGAGAGCCAACGATTGCCAATCCCTGCACTATAGATTTAAGTTACTTTATCAAGATGATTTAATGGGTTACTCAAATCATGACCACTTCAGTGATTTGAAGTGGTTATGGTGGTTGGAGCCCTTATGTGCAGATGGAAGTCTAAGTCCACCAATGCCAGACTCATTGGGGTGTTATCAGTCAGCCCAAATTAGAGTTCCAGGATGGCCAATGTCAATTCTGGCAACTTATCTTAAAAAAAATATATATATATATATTAAGTATTTCCTTGCAAGACTTGAAAGGTTTTATTACATTAAAAATATTTGAGGAGAAAGTTGCTCTTTAAGGAATTTGAGGGCTCCATGTTTCAAACATAAAAGTTATGTTCCTAATTTTCTGATGGCAACTAATCTTGCTCTAAGCACTTTACAGTACATGACCACAGGCTGGACCCAGAGAAAACCTGTATAAATAATTTTACAATTCTTAACATTTTTAAAACACTGAGTAGTAAGAAGCAACACCCTTAATGTTAGATTTTGAGAAATACAATGTTTAAAAGTGCTACAGAATGGATAACTTAAAGATGGAGACAATCCAACGTAAAGGAAATGAGACTAGGACAGGTCAAAGGAAGGATGGAAGAATATCCATGAATGGACTGCCTTTAAATGGCACCTTTCATTCCCCAAACAACGCATGCTCATTAGATTGGGCATACGATTTTATCTAACAGTTTTGCTAGCGAATGTATAGATTAGGGAAAAAAAACTGGCTCTTCTCCCTGCTGTTATGTCAAGGCACTGCACTGACTGACAAGTGAGAGCAGACAATACCTCCCTCAGTGATGTTGGCACGCAGCCTTCATTGCCAGCATTTTAACAGCGCTAGGGGCACTGCCTAGGGAGTTTCCATAGTAACCAAAGAGCATTCGCTATGGGTAAAGAGCAGCGAAAACTCTTGCAGAAGGAGTTTTCTACTTTCCCTTGTCAGTCAATGGCTTAGCAAGCAGAGGCATTGACTGACAGAAAAACTTATTTTTTAATCGTTTTTTCCTCCTCATCCATACATTTGCTAGTGAAACTACTAGCACAGTGTGAAGTTAGAATAATATGCCCTGTGTAATGAGCAGAAATAGTTTAAAAATACATTAAAGAGCTCCTGTCATGCCTATACTATTGTTTTAAGAACTAGAAAAGCTAAAATTTCTGGGGAAATTGTGTGAAGTGTTCTTGCCTCCACCAGTAGTCTACAACTAGGGATCGAGCGATTATCGGTTTTACCGATATTATCGGCCGATATTTGGTATTTTCAGCAATATCGGTATTGGCCACTAATATTGCCAATATGGATAGAGCGAGAAATGCATTTCAACTTTTATATAGCACATTTAATTGCAACATTGCTGCCCAAAGTGCTTCACAGTTACATTAAAACATACATTTATAAAAACATTAGCAGGTGTACAAAAGGCCCTGTCTGTCTATGACATCACTTGCTGCTCCAGCCTGGCACAGGTCAGAGTATTTTGGCGGTTGTCATCTTCAAACGGTCGTATTTTAAAAACTATGAATCCTACAGCGAAGAGCTTTATATTGTGAGAATCACAAGACCCAGACCTACATTTTGATGCATAGTATGTCTCTGAAGTATTAACAATGGAGGCACAGTCGCAGTGTAGAAATTGCCCTTCAAGTTTGAGCTGGCTAGAGTGGAGTTTCAATGAATGTCAATGGACGGCGTGAGTTACAAACAAATAGTCAAATTGTGAAAACTATCAGGACTATGGCTTAGCCGTGGACATTTTTAGTGGCAGCAGGGATAGCTGAACGTTTTGATATAAGATTTGTGTAGGTGGGCCTGAAAATGAGGGAGTGGTGGCAGTTTAGAAATCATGTCCTGATTTTTCAGCTTTTGCCAGCTCCCACTCTAGTTTTGAACATTTCGCCATTCATTCCTATGTTACCAATTTTGCCACAAGAACGATAATATTCCGTGAACCATTCGGCAAAACGTTCCACAAAATAATAGCAATCCAATCGGGAACAATCCGCATGTTTCGGTATATTACGGTCTATGTAGTGTAAAAACTGTGGGAGGAGTTAGGGTGGTAAATTTGGCTATAATAAGAATAATATATATGTGAGATAACATTAAGTGGTCTTGCTATGCAAGAACACTTAATTATTAACCAGCATCTTGGGGTCAAAACATCACTGTCCTAAAACTCTCACCAACCGATACAGTGACAACAAGTAACCAAGAAAAGGAATGAATATAAAGTAATCTTGTAGGACAGACACAAATGAGGTTATTACAATATCTATGTTGGGGGAGAAATACCGATAATACAGCAAATATCGATCACAATTCATGTACTATCTCGTTCAACATAGGAGATTAAAATCCAAGTCATTTTAAATATAAAACTATTGCTCTTGAATGTCGTCACAATACAGATAGCAGAATCTGAGAAAACCTAAAACATGTTAAATATTAAACAATGGGCCAAATCCAGTACAACCAGTTTAAAGAAAAAGAATTACTAAAGAATGTCACTCAAGATTTGCAGGACCAAATGTTATGAAGTCCGTGGGAGAGCAACACCACAACAACGGCAAAACCCACTCTGTTGTGTTCTCTGTATTCGTTCATGTAATCAATAGCAGGAAGGGTCGTACTTTACATGAGAACTTAACATGACCCATTTTTTTTAAGCAAGTTAGCCAGAAACGAGGACAAGTTAATCACGCTAAGTGAAGAAGGTTTAAAGCTCTCTTGTACATTAGCCGTACCAATTTATACTAGCAATGTGTGCATGTGATAGTCTAAGCCCATCACTTGCTTGGCTGATGCAGAAGTATTGGCCTAAGAAGCACAGAGATCTAGCTGGAAGCTGTAGGGGAAATGTATTCAATGTTAAACTGTTGTAACTTGGTTATGCCCGCAGCTGCCAGACTACCGGTCCTGTTACTTCCTGGTTTGGTTAGCTCAGTAGAGAAACTAAAGAGGCAGCAATTGCCTTGCAAAGACTTCTCATCGATCTGCATTGGGAAGTCTGATTGGAGTTAGTAGAGGGAGGCTTGCAAAGAGACGAGAGATCTACACCTTCTGCAAGCTGTCGTAAATATATCCAAATGGAGGGTGGGGAGAAAGCATGGATGTTTTTATCAAGGGTATACAGGTTAAAAAGTTATTTTAAAAAGTGATTTTTTTTTATTTGTGTCTCTTTAAATAAAATTGAGCTTTATAACTTGCAATAAATTGCAAAAATGAAAGTATTCCATATCAAGGTTACACGTTGGGGAGTGGTGTTTGGTTTTCTAGTGGTTACAATAAAAGCAAGCAGTGCAGTTGAAGTAGATATCAATGCAACGAATGACCCGCATATTACTAAAACATTTGTTTCCTAAATTTCCCAGAAAGGGCTTTAATATAAAAGTTATTATTGGGATTTGGAGCAATACTTGTTTGGTTATTGTCCTTGAAGCCAAAAATGCTACGTTTCATTTATCACACCACTTGGGAGCAAAGCACAGTTAGGGTCACTTGTTTAGAGAACACGGAAATAAAAATATGAATAAAATTTAGGAGTCAGCAAGTTTTTATTGCAGCAATGTTAAAAAAAAAAAAAAAGGTCATCTTAAACAGCTGCCAAGGAAGCTGATCCAGCAAAAAGCTATTTTCCACAAAGTCATGATTTTAGCGAACGCTTATAAGAAGTTGAAATTATTGCAAACAAGTGCAGGTGTTTTTTCGGAGGATAGCTCTAATAAATCCAGAAACACCAACATGAACGAATACATAATACAAGCCATGAAAATAGGACGTCGTAGCACTCTGGGTCCAAAACGTGCTGCAACAGAGTGAATGCATAGGCAGTGCACCATTACTTCCATTTTAGCTTATGAATTGAACTTCTGCCCATGGCATCAGCAAATACGAAATACAAGATTAACAGGTGGTGCGTGCATTGGTAGGCTTCAGGCACGCTTGGTGAGCCTTTGGCCAGTACAGAGGACTAGTGATGTCGCGAACCCGAAATTTTCTGTTCGCGAACGGCGAACGCGAACTTCCGCAAATGTTCGCGAACCGGCAAACCGCCCGAAACGCCATTGACTTCAATGGGCAGGCGAATTTTAAAAACACACAGGGACTCTCTGGCCACAATAGGGATGGAAAAGTTGTTTCAAGGGGACTAACACCTGGACTGTGGCATGCCGGAGGGGGATCCATGGCAAAACGCCCATGGAAAATTACACAGTTGATACAGAGTCTGGTATTAATCCATAAAGGGCAGAAATCACCTAACATTCCTAAATCACAATGAATATGGATTGACACCTGACATATGACATATTGACACCTTGACATATGGATTGACACCTGTCCTCAGAGCCCCTGATGCACACGGACACAGAGCAGAATAGAGACTGGTCCCCCTACATAGGGTCACTTGGCAGATATGGATTGACACCTGTCCTCAGAGACCATGATACACACTGACAGAGCAGAATAGGGACTGTTCCCCCTACATCGGGTCACTTGGCAGATATGGATTGACACCTAAATGGCAAATTGCCCTGCTTCCCTGGGTTGTGGAGAAGCCTATTTGCCAGCCTCCTCCCGCATGACTATGGCCCCTGGGAGATTGTGAAAATGTATGCGCTTTTATTTGGTGTGTATGGCCCTTTAAGACTGTCGGTGGGCATATTGGGGCTTATGGACTCTTTATGTGACTGGTGCTGGCCCTTCAAACACCTTTTTTGGGACATCAGGAAGATTGGGACACTGCCCCTTTAAGGCCGTGTCCCCAGACTTGTTGGGGACACTGCCCCTTTAAGACGGTGTCCCCTGTGTCCCCAGACCTGGTGCAAACCCTTTGTGCCTGCCTGGCTAATTCCCACTTGGTTCAGTAAATGGGGCTTACTGAACCAAATACCACACAGGCAGACCACCCAGAAGTGGAAGTGTGCAGGCAATTTACCTCCCAGAAGCTGCGGTTAACCGCAGCTTAATTGACAATGCTGGTGAGGTCTTTGTTCGTTTGCCGAACACGTGGCGGCGGCCATCTTTGATCATTCGACGAGGTCAGCGGTATGTGTAGCCAAATTCATGGAACTAAAATCGGCCACATTCCGCCAACACCGCTGAGCTTCCCTCTACCTTCTCCCCTACTGGTTTTATACAGAGACTAAGTCCCATTCGCCATGGGACTTAGTCGTTTTTTCAGCCTGAAATAGACCGACCTCACAGCCCAAATCTATGGAACTGTTTTGGGCAGGAAAATGTGCTTGCGGTCGGTCATGAAGGGACCTCCAGCTAACTTTTTAACCCCTGGATGGATTTGGCTGATTTTTGGTTATGTTTATGTTTTAAGTGTGCTGATTCCAAATATGTAATTATGAAGATGGATGTGTAGTTTTAAAGTTACAGGGTATGGCTAAAAACTGTATTTTTACTGCCTGTGTTTAATTATGTTAATCTCTTCCCAAACGTCATTTCGTTCAAAGTGGAGTGAATGTTCAAAAAATATATTTTTGTTCGGAGTGTGAGAAATGCTTTTCAGCCGCTTCTAATCTTAAGCATCATTTGAGGAGCCATACAGGAGAGAAACCTTATTTGTGGTGTGTTTAGTATTGTTCTGATCAGTTTAATACCTTCCGCGTCTCCTATCAGTGGACGTGTATATGGCAGCCATTTTGTCAGATTCAAGTTCTTGTGCCCCACAGTTCAAAACATTAAAATGACAATTCATGACAGATCACACAAGTGAATAGCCCTGCCAACGTCTTCTCAGAATTTTTTCGTTTTCTATGAAGAAATAGAAATGCAAGAGCAGAATAGAGACTGTTCAGTTTAATACCTTCCGCGTCTCCTATCAGTGGACGTGTACACGGCATTGATTTTTGTAACAGGGAGATGGAAGAAGAGGCTTGGTCGGTCCTCTTACTGCAAATTTGGGCACTGCGCGGTCAAGCTAATGTGACACCAGATAGGAGTGGTGTGTTTAGTACTATTTTTATCAGTTTAATCACTGTTACGTCCCCTATCCGTTGATGTGGAGCAAGACGCAGCAGCAGAAGAGAACTCAGCCGAGGAGGTTATGGAAGAGGATGGAGTAGGAGGAGGCAGCGTACTGGCAGAGTACACGCTGTAGGGCTGACACACCTGCTTGAAGATAACTAACTGCTATTCAATCTATAATTGATGTTTGTTTCACAGGCAGAAAGTGCCCTAAAACATGGCGGCTTGAACCCTAGTTGGTGGCGGATAAGTCACGCAAGTCAACCGGCATTTAGAGCTAAAATACAGCAGCGTGTGGACCATTTTTAGCCCAAGGCAGCTCATCTCATCAGGCCTTTTTTAATCTAATGTATCGCCCAGTGTCAGTCCCTTCGGGATCCATCCCTCATTCATCTTAATAAAGGTGAGGTAATCTAGACTTTTTTGACCTAGGCGACTTCTCAGTGACAATACCTCCTGCTGCACTGAAGGTCCTTTCTGACAAGACACTTGAAGCGGGGCAGGCCAGAAGTTCTATCGCAAATTGGGATAGCTCAGGCCACAGGTCAAGCCTGCACACCCAGTAGTCAAGGGGTTCATCGCTCCTCAGAGAGTGTCGATATCTGCAGTTAAGGCGAGGTAGTCTGCTACCTGTCGGTCGAAGCCGCTTCCCCTGAGGGTGGATCCCGAAGGGCTGTGGCGATGCATAGGACTTAAAAAGGTCCGCATGTCCTCCATCAACAACACGTCTCTAAAGCGTCCTGTCCTTGCCGGCGTGGTCATGGGAGGAGGAGGATGATTTCCACCTCTCCCCCTGTTAGATTCCCGTTGTGCTGTGACATCACCCTTATACGCTGTGTAAAGCATACTTTTCAATTTATTTTGCAAATGCTGCATCCTTTCATACTTGTTGTAATTCGGTAACATTTCCGCTACTTTCTGCTTATACCGGGGGTCTAGTAGCGTGGACACCCAGTACAGGTCGTTCTCCTTCATCCTTTTATAACAGGGTCCCTCAATGGGCACCTATTGTGCATGAAAGACCCCATTTTGCACAAGGTTGGATGCAGAGCTACCATTTCCGCTCTCCCCACCCCATGTCAATGAAGGTGGGGCTTCTTCCCCCAGCCACGCATAACACCATGAGGTACCAGATAGGTGACAACGAAAGCACCCTGGGATGCCTGTTGTGGTTGGTCTTGCCCCTCCTCTTCCTCCTCCTCAAAGCCACATTCCTCCTCTGACTTCTCTTCCTCACAATCCTCTTCCAGCGTTGCCGCAGGTCCAGCAAGCGATGCTGATAAGGCTGTTTCTGGAGGTGATGGTGACCACAACTCTTCCTCTTCACGCTCATCTACGGCCTGATCCAGCACTCTTCGCAGGGCACGCTCCAGGAAGAAAACAAAATGGTATGATGTCGCTGATGGTGCCTTCGGTGCGACTGACTAAATTTGTCACCTCCTCAAAAGGACGCATGAGCCTACAGGCATTGCGCATGAGCGTCCAGTAACGTGGCAAAAAAATTCCTAGCTCCCCAGAGGCTGTCCTAGCACCCCGGTCATACAAATATTCATTAACGGCTTTTTCTTGTTGGAGCAGGCGGTCGAACATTAGGAGTGTTGAATTCCAACTTGTCGGGCTGTCGCAAATCAAGCGCCTCACTGGCATGTTGTTTCGCCGCTGGATATCGCCAAAGTGAGCCATGGCCGTGTAGGAACGCCTGAAATGGCCACACACCTTCCTGGCCTGCTTCAGGACGTCCTGTAAGCCTGTGTACTTATGCACAAAAGCGCTGTAACATCAGATTACAATGTACGCTATGCACGCACATGTGACAAATTTTGCCCAACTTCAATGCCGCTAACAAATTTGTTCCGCTGTCACAAACCACTTTGCCGATATCCAGTCGCTGCGGAGTCAGCCACTTTTCCACCTGTGCGTTCATGGCGGACAGGAGTGCTTGTCCGGTGTGACTCTCTGCTTTCAAACAAGTCAAACCCAAGACGGCGTGACACTGCCGTATCCGGGATGTGGAATAGTACCTGGGGAGCTGGGGGGGGTGCCGTTGATGTGGAGCGTGCAATCTAATGTTCCACCAGATAGGATTGGTGTGTTTAGTACTATTGTTATCAGTTTAATCACTGTTACGTCCCGTATCCATTGATGTGGAGCAAGACGCAGCAGCAGAAGAGGACTCAGCCGAGGAGGTTATGGAAGATGAGCGTGAACTGCTCAAGGCGGGAGGCGGAGTGGCGGATGGTTGAGAGGGGACAAGGAGGACAGCAGTGGTTGGCGTGGCTGAAGATGCTGGACCAGGAGGAGGCTGGTGGCTTAGAGTAGGCGAGCTGCTTGTACTCATGTGTTGATCCCATAGGCATCTGTGATGTGAGATCATGTGCCCACGCAAAGCAGTTGTACCTAGGTGGGTGTTGGACTTCCCACGACTCAGTTTCTTTTGGCACAGGTTGCAAATGGCATCGCTGTTGTCAGAGGCAGACACACAAAAAAAATGCCACACTGCTGAGCTCTGCAATGACGGCATTCTGGTGGTATGATATGAGTGGCACCGTAAACTGGCAGAGTACACGCTGTAGGGCTGACACACCCGCTTTAAGGACACTGACTGCTATTCAATCTATAACAGTGAAAAAAGTGTTTTTTTTTTAAATCCAAGCTATTGTGACACCAGATCTAAGTGGTGGCACTGGTCACCGTATCCACTGTTAGCGTAACACACCCGCTTTAAGGACATTGACTGCTATTCAATCTATAACAGTGAAGAAAGTGTTTTTTTTTTTTTAAATCCAAGCTATTGTGACACCAGATCTAAGTGGTGGCACTGGTCACCGTATCCACTGTTAGCGCAACACACCCGCTTGAAGATAACTAACTGCTATTCAATCTATAACAGTGAAAAAAGTGTTTTTTTTTTTAAATCCAAGCTATTGTGACACCAGATCTAAGTGGTGGCACTGGTCACCAGATCCACTGTTAGCGTAACACACCTGCTTGAAGATAACTAACTGCTATTCAATCTATAACAGTGAAAAAAGTGGGTTTTTTTTAAATCCAAGCTATTGTGACACCAGATCTTAAGTGGTGCACTGGTCACCGTGATTCACTGTTAGCGAATACTTACCCGCTTAAGGGACACTCGACTGCTATTCAATCTATAACAGTGAAGTTTTTGTTTTAAATCCAAGCTGGTGTCACCAGATCTAAGTGGTGGTGCACTGGTCACCGTGATTCAATGGCTGTTAGCTGTGAATAACACACCCGCTTTAAGGACACTGACTGCTATTCAATCTGGCACAGTGAAAAAAAAGTGTTTGCTTTTTTTAAATCCAAGCTATTGTGACAATTCAGATGTAAGTGGTGGCACTGACTGGGGAAATGGGTACAGTATGCACTGTGAGCCTGACACAGAAGCTGGCAGCAGTGCAGACAACTGACTGCTATTCAATCTATAACAGTGAAAAAAGTTTTTTGTTTTTAAATCCAAGCTATTGTGACACCAGATGTAAGTGGTGGCACTGACTGGGGAAATGGGCACAGTATGCACTGTGAGCCTGACACAGAAGCTGGCAGCAGTGGCAGACAACTAAGTGCAATTACATTACATAGAAAAAATAAATAAAAAAAAGCATACCCTTATCCCTAACCTAGCTATGCTTTTCCCTATCTTATGAACAGCAGCTACACTTTCCCTCCTCTTACTAAGCATGCAGCTTGAGAATGAATCTAAAATGGATGCCTTCCAGGAGGTGGGAGGGTCTGCTAGGGAGGGTGTGCTGCTAATTGGCTGGAATGTGTCTGCTGACTGTGAGGTACAGGGTCAAAGTTTACTCAATGATGCCGAATAGGGGGCGGGTCGAACCGCGCATATGTTCGCCCGCCGTAGTGAACGCGAACATGCTATGTTCGCCAGGAACCGTTCGCCAGCGAACCGTTCGGTACATCACTACAGAGGACACAATATCATACAGCTCCACTGGTTTGTGGGTCACATCCATGGGCTGGTAATGGGTTGTGCCTATGCGGATACGATTGTTGACCATCCACCAGTGGTCAAACGTTAACCCTTTAAATTTCATTATGTCAGCTTATGGTATTGGTTGTTGATCTGCCTTTATCAAGGATGTATGCTAAAGATATGTAGAATTAAAAAAAGTTATCAATGTGCAGGCGGTGCCATCAACAGGTCATATTTTAATACATACTTTAAAGAAGAGCCTGGCTCACACTATGTGCATGGCAAGTCCACCTGTCTGCAATACCAGTAATGTTCTTAACGACCTGTGCCTCTAGCAGAACGTCCGTAGAGCAAAGATCTTTCTGCTGGGCTCCAGGAAGAACTAGCGGCTGGGCAGCAGAATGTTAATATCCCAATGAGTGAGCTAGTTTAATAATCTGGCCCTTTACACATACTTCCTAACACCAGAAGGAGCAGTTGTTGCAAACTGCTGGCGCATAGCGTTGGACTTTGCTCCCAGTCACTATTGCATCACCGGTCATTCTCACGGACGAAACAGAAATGTTAAATTAAATCCCCATCCAGATGTTTATTTTATTTACAGCTTCTCTTTTTGGGTTTCTGTTTTTTATTAAAGCAATAGAAAACACATTACAGTTTAAAAAAAAAACACAGTATACCACTCAGTACAGGGGTTTATGGATTACGCCAAGTACACCCACTGAGAATTGGACAGTAAGGGCTGGCTGACACCCCCTGGTTATGGAATAAACTGCAATTGCAGCAAACTTTCACAAGGCGAGTCTTTTCTTTTAAATAGCTTGGCTACTTTCACCATTGAGCAAGTCTGATCAACCATCTACAAAATTATATTCCATAACACAAAACATTGGTGCCAAATAGTTATGCAAAATTTAAATCCATATCGCATATCTGTAGAATGCACTATATCTAACAAAACAAGAAAAATAGCTAAACTAGTCAACACTACAGCCTCCAGGCATTGAACTGAGCTTTTCAGCCTTTGAGGGCAATATAATAAATACCATTGAGTTGGATAATTAAATCTATATCTTAATTTTTTGGAAACAATCTATACCCTTCCTGGTAAAACATGACTGTAGCAGTGTGGGAAAACAGTCAGCCTTTCCATAGTGGTTCTATTTAAAGATGAATATAAACAATATAATAAATTCTACAAGTGTGTCAAAGTAGAACAGTTACCGGCAGACCAAGCATTATACAGTTATAACTTAAACTGCCAAGCCGTGCAGGAGGAAGTCACCGTCACACGCACATCTGCTTTTCTTAGTTGAGAAACATTACATTTACGACTCAAGCAAGAGGATTATTGTTCAGTGTTCCCTAGAGAGGATTACACAGCATTTACAAAAGAACAGAAAATTACAAAAATCCCACTTCATCTACTAAAGTAAGGGAGCCAAATATTAAGACTGTGATGATTGTTCCACGTTTGTTTGCCCGTTGTTAAAACCAGAAGCTTTCATATTTAATGAACATTAAATTCATGGGTAAATGCTCTCCTCTTGTTATTGGATTAGAACATTTCAACAAGTAATGTGACAATGAGAATCAGAGCCACCATCTGCAAAACAGGGGGATGGCAAGGTTAATTTAAGGTTGATATAAAAATGTAATTTATACATTGCAAAGATGATTCCTCCAGCAACTATTAAAGATATGTACCCGATGAGCGATTAGGGCCATCCAAATTACCACACAAATTACTTCTGGAAATCACAGTGCCCCTTAAACATCTGTGTGGCTCCTCATAATGTCTACTTTATGGCCATGTTTTTTTTAGACACTGCTTAATCAATACATCCCTTGTTTATATAAGTGATGCATAATACTCAACATTAAAGAACCACTATATCGCACTATGAAGAGAGTGGACATTTGTTGATGTCAAACTATAAAAAAATTTTTAAAAAGTTAAAAACTACCTTGATACTTTGATTGCGGTCGAGTATTTGTGTATGAAATGTGTAGCCATTACAGAGGCCAAGACACAGGAAGGGGTATTTCCTGAGCTCCTCTGAAGAGTATTGTTATGGCACCTGCATTGCAATTGGGAGGTTCTGGGAAGACATTTTGTTCCTCCAACTAGACTTGTTAAAATAAATTAAAAAAAAAAAAACTAAATTTAAAAAAAAAAAAAAAAAAAACATTACCATGTGGCAAAGTGGAAGAAAATTGCAAAGTATTTTGGGTGAGATACAAGATTCAAAAGAAAATGCTGCTGTGTAAACTGGTCAGAGTTATACTCCAACCACATAATATTCTATTGTGCAAAAAAAAAAAATGTCCGGCACAACAAGTGATCTCAAACTAGTTTATAAAACGAAGCTATAAAAAAAAAAAAAAAAAAAAAGAGGGAAAAAATAGACAAGTCATTGCTGTATTCCTGGAAATCTGTTATGCCAGGAGCCTTTTTACACTCAAGCGAGCAATTCCCAGTAACATGGCAATGATGATTTAGAAGCTGCAAGTTCATTCATAAATTGCCCACAATTCCTAGAAAGTATGACTAATGCAAAGCCTTAACGAGAGACTTCATGGCTGCAGCAGGTCCTTCAAGGTAGGATGTACGCTAATTGACCAGTTTAAATAATTTTACAGGCCACAGCGGTAGAGGTTTTCCTAACAGAAAAAACACATTCCAACAATGAGCTGAGTAACTAGGAATAATGACCACAGAGAATGCATTAAAACATCCGGTGGAAGGACATGGCAAGGTTGTGGTGCATCTCAAATAAGGCTTTGAGGTGAGAAGTCCACCTTAATTGTAAGAGCCACCAATCATTTGCAGGCCCAACCCTATAATCTAGCATCATCGTATGGGGGCATAAGTCAGTCATGAACAGGTCTTAAAATCTGGTTATATCAATGTTGGACTAATTCACAGGGTACATCTCCCTACCACTAAACAAGCAAGGCATGAGAGGACGAAACGCCTAAAATAAGCAAACGCCAACAGTCAAGATGGAAACATTTCCAGAAAATGTTAAATTTCTGTGTTATGTACAAGTAAATGAGCATTGTCTGCTAGAAGGGGCATGCTGTTAATCTGTCTGGCCTCCCCCGTAATGGCAAGACTGCCCCTTTCGTATGATGGACCCATCTCTGATGATCAGGACCCACCCTCCTTATGCCTGCTCTATTGCCTGCCCGGCTCTGTTCTGGAAGGCAGGCAAGAAAAGTTGGCACCAAGGAATACTCTGGAAACAAACTAAACTGCACCAATTCTCTAAAAGGTAAAAAGCTGTGTGAAAATATGGTCTACTATCCCATCAATACAAAGCACTTATATATTTTATTTAATTTCATTTCTTTAAACTCCATCATAAAGTAACTTGCACAGAGAAGAAACTATCCAACGCATTTCCCTATCTACTGGAACAGGAATTGTTGGCAGTTCACCAGGAAACTGCAAATTTAGGGTTCAAACAACCAGGCTAAAAATCACAAACATTACAATTTGGTTATTTTATCCTAAAATTTGCCATTTGCCGGCTAATTCATGACATTTCTTTGTTTAGAATAATGACAACAGAATAATAAAGGAACACTATAGTCACCTAAATTACTTTAGCTAAATAAAGCAGTTTTAGTGTATAGATCATTCCCCTGCAATTTCACTGCTCAATTCACTGCCATTTAGGAGTTAAATCACTTTGTTTCTGTTTATGCAGCCCTAGCCACACCTCCCCTAGCTATGATTGACAGAGCCTGCATGAAAAAAAAAAAAAAACTGGTTTCACTTTCAAACAGATGTAATTTAAATAATTGTATCTCAATCTCTAAATTGAACTTTAATCACATACAGGGGGCTCGTGCAGGGTCTAGCAAGCTATTAACATAGCAGGGGATAAGAAAATCTTAATTAACCAGAACTTGCAATAAATAAAGCCTAAATAGGGCTCTCTTTACAGGAAGTGTTTGTGGAAGGCTGTGCAAGTCACATGCAGGGAGGTGTGACTAGGGTTCATAAACAAAGGGATTTAACTCCTAAATGGCAGAGGATTGAGCAGTGAGGCTGCAGGGGCATGTTCTATACACCAAAACTGCTTCATTAAGCTAAAGTTGTTCAGGTGACTATAGTGTCCCTTTAAGGAAGTATGCAAAGAGAAAAAAAAAAATCAAAACCCATTGCCTATTACCAGGGTGTGCCCTGTTTGAACGTGATTCACACATCTCACTCACACTAAGCATTAATGAAAATATTCAGTAAATACCCTTTATACTCATCTTTTAGCTACCAGTAAAGAATGCCATCCTGTTTAAGCCTCTCCTACATCAGATTTGCCAATTTACCTGATAAGAGTCTTTGCGAGGACTTAATCCAATCTCATCCATGGACTGAGTGTTCATTATTACTTCAGTCATTTCAGCTGATCTCAAGTAATCAGTGCTGTAAAGAAAAAAAACAAAAAAAAAACATTGGTTGAAGAAAACAGCGACCTAAGGTTTCAGACAACCATTTCATGATATCCCTTGCCCAGTCAATTCTGGTTTACATTTGGAAAGACTAAACCGTGCATGTTTTATACCATTTATGACGGACCTACCTTGCCTCTTGAATGAATGTATCTTAACCGGTTTGTCAGAGTTTGAATTTATTGCATACCAATTGTACTACGCTATGAAATACGGTGATGCTCTACAAACTGAGAAGTGGTTTTGTCCATCGTGGTCTGAAAGAACATTATTAAAGGGCCACTAAGACCAGAGTTGAAAATCTACCACTGAAATCCATGATTTTACAAACTCTACGAAATGTTAGGAGAAGTGGGGATGTCATTGCTTTAAAGTATAACCCTACTACACTTCATTTTACTCCATGGCATTTGGGAGCTTTTATCACAACGAGGGACTACAAATAACTTTAAAATCACAACTAGCCAGAAGTCTAGCAATTACACCATGCCAAACAAAAAACAAACTTTTGCAACATTTGATTTAACTTTTCTAATTCAGAAATAGTCAATGTAGAATCATTTATCATAAAACATGTTTATTTTTTAATAATTTCTAGGTAACCTATGGCATGTGATGTACAAATCAATCACTTCCTGTTCCTCTCACATTGGGATAGCTACTCTGTCAATCACTGACATCACATGATCTCTGCAGCATTGTTTTGTTATCCGTAACTTTTACTAAGGATTCCAAAATGGCCACTTCCATAACGAGACATTGAGATGTTCAAGTGGTGATGCCAGTAAACGTACTAAAACATAAGAAAATCGCATTAATCTATGAATAAAACGTTACAAGAAACAGGGATACCTTGCCAAATCTTGTATATAATTTAATGCTATATCTCACAGGATCAGAACTATCGAGGTTCAATAAATGCTTATAACAAAGAAAATAAAACTCAATTGGTGTACAATAACAACTAAGTCAATGGAAAACCTTTTAGTGGAGGGTGAAGATGGTTCAATGCCAAGATATTTAGTCAGTGGCTATTACCCCTGGCTAATAGGGATCTACACCCGCAAATTATGTAATTTTTCCAAAAATACCCCAATATTTTCATATGATTGATGCTCCTCCCCACAGCTCGTCTAGAATTAAAGGGGACACTGCGGAACTAACAATGACAGACTTTCTAAAACCACACTTGGTCTTTACTATATCAGTAGATTTTAATTTCTTTATTGCAACAAAATTACCCTTTAGTCAATGTACTGGATAAAGCACTGAAAAGCAGACAGGATTTGAGAGCCAGGTCCAAAAGCTTACAATCTAACGGTGCTGGATAGAATACTCAATAAAGACAACTCATTTAAAAGATGTGACATTAAGTCCATTAAAAAACATACAAACAGATTGAAATTCATTGCATCTATTGACTGTAGACACTTGCACGCCAGTAAGTATCACAGCAGACGTTTACAAATTTTAATCTTTACGAAGAATCATTTGATGTTGGTACGCATGCCTTTCAGAAATCCTAGTGGTGTTTAACCAAACTAGAAATTGCTTAGAAGTGACAAGTTTATTGCAAATATTAACCCCTTAATGACAACTTCTGGAATAAAAGGGAATATTTCCGTCATGTGTCCTTAAGGGGTTAAGCAAAAATAGTCAAATTTACCTATAACGTACAAATCCCTTAGCAGTTTTCCATAATTCCTGGTTCAGAACAGCTTTGCTAGTCTTCGTATTAAGCAGAGACTACGCTTTTCCCAAGGTTAATTTTAAAATGTAAAGGAGCCATGGATAAAAAGTAAGATCTCCCCAACCTTGAATGTTTATCACTTGGATATCTCAGACTCCACTCTAACATGTCTAACTTGGAAGGGATTATTTAAAACAGTGGTTAATGTTTTATAATCCAGAATAATCTGGCTCTAAACACAGTGTCCAGACTGGAGTAATCACGAATTCTAACAGTTGAACATTGCGCTGAATATTCCAGCTGTCAGTGAGTGGAGGTGCACTGCTTAAGGTTAACAGATCCATAAAGAATATTAGAATTATCCTAAACTACTGCATTTTATATCATCGGCAGCCAAGACCTGGACCATTCAACCAATTCGTTTCTTACAGTACATCTCCTGAAATGATAAAATGGGATTCTTATATGAGAAAATAAGGGTTTGGCTGCACTCACCTACACATGCTAAATTAGGGTGCTGCTGGGGACCAATAAGTACAGTTAAAAAAAATGGGATTCTTAAACACAAAATGCTAGAAAGGCAAGTGCCAGGATGACAGCATGTTTTCAGATTGCTACTTATTCTATGACAGATTATTTTCACAGCGTCTGATACGAAATCCCATTTCATTAACCCTTTCAGTGACAAGCGCACCTAATGCATTACAAAACAAAAATCAATATGTTTGGTAATCTTTGGCATTCAATGATTTAAAAAAATGGAGTCTCTGGTGCCCATAAAAATTCTAACATTCCCAAAAAATTTTGGGCAGTTTTTATTGCTTTTTTTAACTCAATCTACCTTGTGACAGCACAAACACTTTGAGAAAAAGTTTTGATTTGGCAGGCAAAGTATTTTTAGGCTTTGGACAAATCAGACAAAGATGTTTATTTTATTTTTTTTAAACTTGTGCAATGTTCATCATAACATTATTGCAAATTGTTTATTAATTTCGGATGAATAATTTGTAGTATGATCTTATATTAACCCAAATGCACCATCATTTTCACTCATCCTCTATTTCCTGGTAACGTCAGCACTTAACAGCAGGGTTAAGCTCCACCGATCACTCAGAATGTTCAGAAATAAAACAATTAAACAATGAAGACCCTATAAGTACCCCTTCAAACTAAGGGACCCATAGTTATTCTGTCCACATGCTATGGATGTCAATTATATAAATCAAAAAATCCGCAGGATGGAGACATTGAAATCTGATTAATTAGGACCATACAAATCTGCTAGGTCTATCGGATAACCATCTATTGGGTCTCAGCAACATGGAAACAGATTACCTGAGCCGGCATTGCCTGCATGCAGGAGAACTGCAGCTAGTTCTTTGGTCCCTCAATTGTTTAGAAATGGGGCCTTCCCAAAATGGATTTGATGGAGACCGCTCATAATGAGTCAAGAGGTTTACCATTCACAGAGGTGAAGTATGCTCGTCCCAGTTGAAAATTCCAGAAGGAATAGGTTTCCTCCTTTTCCACGAATATTTAGTCTCCCTCAGAAAACTCAACATGAATGGAATGAGGTTTTGGTGGTTATACCATTCAGGCTCAGGAGTATCCTACACACCCTCTTGATCAATCCACAAGTCATTGCAGCTTGGTCCCCTGTTCCACCCATCCCCTCGGTCCCTACTCCTGAAGAAGTCAACCTTTTCTGCCAAGGATACCCTTTAATTATTACAGGATGGGTTGGATAATGGCCTTTGGTCCAAGTATCTTCATTGTCAGCACTTTCTGGTGTTCGGTGGGCCTTAGACCAGGATGTTGCCAGATACATGAAGGCTATTCTTAAAATATATATATATACCCAGAAAGATGCTCCTCTCCTCCATGGGATTTACCATTGGGTCTCAACTTTGCAGTCAGCTCCTTTGAACCTTTACAGGACATTCCTCGGACACTACTTATATGGAAGACAGCAATGCTGGTGGCATTGATCTTTTGCTGATGAACCCCAGAATTGGTAGCCTTATCAGTAGAAGAACCATTCTTGATCTTTCATCAGGATGTCAAACCAAGCACGTCCAAGTTTCTCTATGACTCAAGGCACATTCCACAAGAACCATCTCTACTTTGGCAGCAGTGACAGGTTCCAGCTGATCAGATTTGCAGGGCAGCTGGCTGGTCCTCGTCAAATACCTTTATAAAGCATTGTCATCTGGATGTGAGATTGATGGAGGAAGCATCCTTTGGGAAGCTGTCCCTCAAACCTCCACTGTTTAATTTATTCTGTTGAATATATGTATACATTTTCTAGCAGTACTTCGGTGCTGTGTTTATTACTCCCTCTTATTGTTATACATGGCATTGCCTTGCTGTTAAGTGCTACCATGGCAGGAAAACTGAAAATTAACTCATACTTACAGATATTTTCCTTTCCCAGTAATGGGCCCACGGCAGCACTGCCCACCATTCCAGCATGGGTGACTTTAGAATGAACTGAGGGACACTTAGTTTGGGGGGGTACTTATAGGGAGTGTGACAAACATAACCTTGCCACATGCTTATGGAGGAGCCTGCTTGCCAGCCTCCTGCCCCAGGACTATGGGCCCTGCAAAATGCACTGTTCGTGTGATTTGGGAATATATTGTTCAGGAACCAAACAACTGCACAAACTCTCAGGCACAAAGGATCATGGAGGGATTTCCCTGTATTGTATTGGAAACCCCTTGCAGGGGCTTTTGCATAAAAGGCAGTGTGTGGCCGCCAATAAATCAGATGACACTCAGCATTAAGCCTTAGCTCATGTGTGAGGAGGGGGAATTAATTGCTTAAATTGATACTATAGTCGACATAACTACAGCTTCTTGTATTTGTTCTTGTGAGTATAAATCATTCCCCTTCAGGCTTTTTGCAGTAAACACTTTTTTCCAGAGAAAATGCAGTGTTTACATTACAGCATAGGAATAACTCCACTGGCCACTTAGATGGCTGCTAGAGGTGCTTCCTGGAGCAGTGCTGCACAGTGTGACTGACATTCAGTGTCTCCACCCTCTGCATGCAGACACTGAACCTTCCTCAGAAATGCATCTCTATGAGGAGCTGCTGATTGGCCAGGGCTGGGTTTGGTCTGTGCGGGCTCTGCTCCTGATCTACCTCCTTGACAGACTTAGCCAATCCAGTGCTTTCCCATGTCAAAGCACTGTTATTGTCTGAGTGAATCACTTCTAATTAAGTCAGCAGCAGCATACTGGAATAATTAAGTCAGCAGCAGCATACTGGAATAAAGTTAAGATTTTGCTATATTTAGGAGGGCAAGGGGGCTAGATGATGGTTTTAACACTATAGGGTCAGGAATACATTAAGTGCTTTATTTCTGTCCATTGGGAGTGATTGGAGGAGCTTAGCCCAGTTATGTGCTGCTGTGGACCATTATCGGGAAAGGAAAATATTGGTATAGGTGTTACTTTTCTGTTATGTACAAGAGAATCTACAAATATGTGTCACCATTAAAACAGATAACAGTGTCCAGTATTTTTAGGGAGTATAAGGTCTCTGCATTTCTGTAGTGCCAAGTATTATACATCCTAGTAAAACGCTGCGGAATAAGCTGGCGCTATATAAATACCAATAATAGTATAAAGTAGAGAAAAGCACAGTCTAACCATTAGATTTAACTGACCTTACCGTAACTAAAATAACACCCTAATAAATTACTTATATGTTTCTTTTCTATACATTTTCAAAATAAATTCAAATTTTCAACAATTGACGGCCGCCACTGCTGGAATGCTATTCTGTGTTATTAACATCCTTTAAATAGTATACGGTGTATCTTTCATTCTCTAAAATGAAGTTTCATTATGTAACAAACAGACTAACAAAAAGCATGACATGCCAAGATTATTATAACAAGGAAAGTAAACATTGTTTGTAAATGAATCACACAGAAGAATAAAGTGATATAAATATAAACAATGCAGCTTCTCTCAGACACTGTCGTTAAGGCCTTCCCTTTGTCAGATGACCTTGACAGACAGGTGACCAAACCGGTATTCTTTCATAAAGGGTTTGTTCGGAAAAAACTACATAGATGGGTTTGTCTGACCGGTGTCAAGAGCGTTCACATACACACATCAAAAGTGTGACATTCCTTGTATATGCTCAATCGAGGGGTTTGGCATCAAAGATATGACCTTAAGACAGTCAAATGTGTAATCACTGTATTAAGTGAATAACCCGGCGGTAATCTGAGTGCCAGTCATTCAGGTGGGAGGGAAAAAGATGCCTTAAAATCAGCATTATTGGTTTCCTCCTAACAAGCACTCAAAAGGTAATGTATCATCTTTTAATTGCATCTCTAGTCGATGCCAAGGGGTAGGGGGAGGCGGGGAGGGGGAGATAAAATATAAATAGGGCAACTTGGTTCCAATCAGCAGATGGCATCAATAGTGGGGGAGTGCCAAGTAATAATGTTTGACAATGAGCTGGTCCAAACAGGGTCCCTTTAACCCCTTAAGGACACATGACATGTCATGATTCCCTTTTATTCCAGAAGTTTAGTCCTTAAGGGGTTAATTGCACACAACTTTTATTTCTAACCCCCACTACAGATTTAGGAAAAAAACAACTCAACGGGATCTAAAATTCCAGGATATAAGGTATCCAGAAGATTCCATAGTAAAAGTGTGCATAGGATGTTCGTTTTGCACAAACTAATCAAATCACTGTCAGACTATAACTTGCAAAAACAGGATTCAAGTAAATTAAAAAAGCCTAACTGCGAAGAATAAGGCTATAATAGCATTCTGAAAATTGGAGAATTACTTCAACTTTGATTATGGTTTTTGGAAAATTCAACATACTCCGATTAAATGGTAAACTGAACGGCAGCTTCCATAATTCTCTGCCAGCCTAGCAGGGGATTATAGGGGTTGTAGTTCAAACTCTGCATGGCAGCACGTAACACCCTGGTTTGGCTACTAGAATACTAGTCTTTACAACACTTGCAAGCTGCATCACCAACAGATACTGCATCGCAGTACAATGCAGACTATATACACATGTACGGTTTAGTTAATCCTTTTAACAGTCAGCTCCGCTACCTTGAGACAGAAGCTTAGCAACCACAAAACAGGAAGGAAACCTTTGCACCATTTCATGGCTGGAATAAGCAACGAAGTATTTTAAAGGTTATAAACATTTACTCGTTCTGCTGCGGAGCACACCCAGAATAGATTTCCTGCTACAAAGCACAGCAACCAGATACAAAATAGAGTTATATACCAAAGGCTTATTTGCTAAACAGTGAATTTTGGGAATATATATTTCTATCTATATTTAGGGGTCGAAACGTCAATTATATATCACAAATGAATCTGAAGCTCTCGTTCCATTAAACCACGATTTTTCCACTAAAGGCCTGTGAGTGCACCCCTGACTATTTGATATATATATGAATTAACTTTCCACTTCAGAGAAACATTGGCCTACAATTCAGTTTAACCTCTGAGCTTGATAAATAAACCCATAACTGCATTTAATAGTTTCCCCATACTGTGGCCCAGTTAAACATCTGTCTTGACTAAGCCCAACATTCGAAACCCAAGTTCCACATTCCTTTGCATTTACTGAACATTCCATAGCATTGTGCACACACACTGCAAACATTTGCCTTGCGCTCTGGGTTCTTAAAGAACTTGATACAGAGCAATGTTTGTTTGCAACCTCATAAAACCTATAGAACAATGATGTATACCTCCCAGAGCAAAGTATCAAAATTAAACAAACCATTTGTTAATCAATGGTGCAAACCCGATTCACTATAGTGAGAATCGATCACAGTGAAAATACAAAAAACTTGTAGTTAGAAAGTTAGTGTATACCAGCCAACACCAACCTAGACTCGCTATAGTGAACAAGGGTTACACCATTGTGACTAGTGAAACTAGCTGAATGGCCACCAGTTATTTTCCTGGCAGACAGGGATACAGGACACATGGTAATGGTAATCTGACACATGGCACTGCAGTGATATAGCCAGTATTGTAACAGGGCCACCAGTGATGCATGTCACAGGCAATGCCAGCCTACTGATCACTAGTTGGTGCTGTGCCCATGGGTACACTTAATCACATCCTCGTATGGAAAATATGGGAGGTAATGCAGACTACAGCAATATGTAGGATCATTCCAATAGTTGCCACGGTGATTACTCCAATTTTAGAACTTTGAGTATGATAATCAATTCTGTGTCAATGTCCCTATGGACTAGGAGTTGGCACGTGCCATGCAAAACTCAAACGATGATTAGTTTTATATAACCCGAGTATTCCAAGACTGGTACCAAAGCCAGCATGACAGCCCATATCCTGAAATGCACATTTACATCAGGATTTCAGGGAAATGGTTAAAAACTAGCATAAGGTTAGTCACGATAATTCTAATAAAGTGATTAAAATAATCTAATATAATACACTATAATTACAATACAATATAATATAATACTCGAATATATAAATGGAATCAAACATGTTAATCAGATTGAGACTCTGGTAATATCAGGGTGTCTGAATGCATGTCTGACTGACACGGTATAAAACAGACAGTGCAAACACACACACAGATGAAACCAGTCTGGAGACAGACAGCCCTGACCAGCACTCCTATATACAGCATTACCAATGTATACACACACATATACACATCGCTTTGTCTTATTTTCCCAAACACAGCCAGACCAGCTGAACTCTGTCTCTCTCACTGAACAAAGAAACGCATGATGTGGGCTCCAGTTACAGCCAGAGATGCCCATTATACTGCATGTAGAAGCCAGGACAAGGCACTGCACACGTCCCCTAGGCATGCAAGGGGTTAAACAAACTGAACCATTCTTTGAAGAGCCCCAGCCAGGGATCCAGGGGAGCTCTGTGCAGAGCCCCAGCCAGGGATCCAGGGGAGCTCTGTGCAGAGCCCCAGCCAGGGATCCAGGGGAGCTCTGTGCAGAGCCCCAGCCAGGGATCCAGGGGAGCTCTGTGCAGAGCCCCAGCCAGGGATCCAGGGGAGCTCTGTGCAGAGCCCCAGCCAGGGATCCAGGAGAGCTCTGTGCAGAGCCCCAGCCAGGGATCCAGGAGAGCTCTGTGCAGAGCCCCAGCCAGGGATCCAGGAGAGCTCTGTGCAGAGCCCCAGCCAGGGATCCAGGAGAGCTCTGTGCAGAGCCCCAGCCAGGGATCCAGGAGAGCTCTGTGCAGAGCCCCAGCCAGGGATCCAGGAGAGCTCTGTGCAGAGCCCCAGCCAGGGATCCAGGAGAGCTCTGTGCAGAGCCCCAGCCAGGGATCCAGGGGAGCTCTGTGCAGAGCCCCAGCCAGGGATCCAGGGGAGCTCTGTGCAGAGCCCCAGCCAGGGATCCAGGGGAGCTCTGTGCAGAGCCCCAGCCAGGGATCCAGGGGAGCTCTGTGCAGAGCCCCAGCCAGGGATCCAGGGGAGCTCTGTACATGGTGCAGAGCCCCAGCCAGGGATCCAGGGGAGCTCTGTACATGGTGCAGAGCCCCAGCCAGGGATCCAGGGGAGCTCTGTACATGGTGCAGAGCCCCAGCCAGGGATCCAGGGGAGCTCTGTACATGGTGCAGAGCCCCAGCCAGGGATCCAGGGGAGCTCTGTACATGGTGCAGAGCCCCAGCCAGGGATCCAGGGGAGCTCTGTACATGAGCCCCAGCCAAGGATCCAGGGGAGCTCTGTACATGGTGCAGAGCCCCAGCCAAGGATCCAGGGGAGCTCTGTACATGGTGCAGAGCTCCTTTAAGGATAAGGAACTACTATACTTGTGCTCATTAACCCACTCCTGCCCTAACCTTTCAGCACCAACACATTACATCTGGTAGTCGTTAGATTAACCCTCTGTGTCAGAAGAACAGAACTGGTCCCAAGCACCATGGGGACTTCATACAAAGACACACATGTAGCCACAATGTAACTCCCATCGCCTGGCACCTAACTGGTTAACTTCCTTAAAGTGACCCATTAATCAGAGAAGAGACAAATGTCAGCTGAACACAGCATGGATTTGGAGGGAGAGAATCGTGGTCACTGATACCCGATATAAGGTTTTACATAGCTAAATAGAATTATAAAATATACTAGAAGTACAGGACCCAAGTTGCAATGTCAGGCACTGGCAGCTAAACGGGTTAATTTATAGCTTAGTCTAAATACCTGGCATATTAACCAACTCCCAGCCAGAGAGTCAGTGCTAAGCCAGGTGCCCCCCTTTTTCTGACATGGGTGGGGGGGGGAGGGGGGGGACATGGGGTAGAGTGCCCCCATCAGTTCCAGAAATCCCTTCCAGTTCCTGATTGCATTTTTTTCCATCCAAAACTGCGTTTCTTTGTTCATCCATGCCCTCCAGGAAAGCTCCGCAGTCCAGGAGAAGTCAGGCTCCCAGATATAACACACAATGCTAAATCAGACTTACCAGTGAATGGGGTAAAATACAGACATGAAGTCCTGAGAGGCTGATTTAATGCTCTGCTTAAAGTGATAGCACCCAGGGGCTCTCTGCAGTCCAGTGATGGGAGCACTGTCAGTACACACAGCTCTGACCCTCTCCCTGGGAACACTCAGTGCTGTGTGGCAGCCAGGCTGCCCAAGAGGCTCTTATATAACATAGGGGGCGTGTCCTTGCAGGCCACTCCCACCAGGCTTGACGTCAACCAAAGCATGAATGGTCTGAGCTTGCGGCTCATCCCTTGGATACAATCAGCTTTAAATTGTAAACTCAGTACATTCCAGCTCTCTCATCCCTCCCAGCCAATCAGAGCTCAGATCCAGCTCACTCATCCCTCCCAGCCAATCACAGCCTCATCCACAATTACCTGCATTCTGCACTGCTGGGATACATTGTATTCCTGTATCCCCCCTCTTTCCATAGCCTGCCTGTTTGTGCAGCAGTGTGACATTTTATTTGTGTCTTGTTTTTTCCTTTTTCCCTGTTTCTTGTAGTTTTATTGCATTCATTCCCACCTTTTAAGGCTTTGCAGGGACACATTGTCACCCAGGCTTAGGAAGTGCTCTATTTAGGAATTAGGAGGATGACATCTATTCACAGACAAACCCTCATTTAAATGAATATTTTATGCATGATTGCAGAGGAATGGTCTTCAGTTAGGCAGAACAATCACTGCAAATGTGTACTTAGAAACACACAGACACAGTATACACCCCACACTCCTGTATTTATATACTGTATACATGTAATACAAGATCCAGCGCACTCACCTATCCACTAAACAGCAACTTCAATGATGACAGATTTTAGTAGTTTTGTTCTTTAGTTTTTTTTAAAACACCTAATCTAGGCAAAAATAATGGGAGTTTAGTTACATCATATGATCATACATTGCATAAGCCTAATAATGTATGATCATATACTGTAACTAAACCCCCATTATTTTTGCCTAGATTAGGTGTTAAAAAAAAAAAAAAACAACACACACTACTAAAATCTGTCAACATTGAAGTTGCTGTTTAGTGGATAGGTGAGTGCGCTGGATCTTGTGCATTGTATAAATTGGCCCCCCAGCAGCACCCCAGTTATGCATGGTCAGGTGAGTGCAGACCCCTGGTTTCAGGTGCCTCATCCCCGGGCCATTATATGATCATATAATGTAACTAAACCCCCATTATTTTTGCCTAGATTAGGTGTTTTAAAAAAAAAAAAAAGCTAATAAAATCTTTCAACATTGAAGTTGCCATTTAGTGGATAGGTGAGTGCGCTGGATCTTGTGTAATATATATATATATATATATATATATACATATATATATATATATATATACATATATACATATATACATATATACATATATACATACACACACACACACACACACACACACACACACATACATACATACACATACATACACACACACAATACAGTATTTGACTTTTTTATCCCCTGTAACACACCACCTCTTTTCCAGGTAGGATTTTGTCACAGATCTTGTACCCACAGCCTTCCAGGGTAATGAAAGTCCAGGACACATCCAGCTCAGTTTTTCTGATTTATTCAGTAAAATATAAATACAGGTGTTTCAAAATGAAAAATAAACAAACCAAAATTCCTTGCTCCTGCTTGAGTACTTACTATACAAAGCAAATCCCTATCTGGAATTGGGTGGCTTTCTTACTTGCCAAGTTACAAAAAGTATACCTGCAAGACACCATTCCTCTGGCTTTTCCTCCTCACCCTGCAGCATGCTGATCCCTTCTTTTTAAAAGCCTGCTAGCTAATTGATCAGATACAGGTGAGGTGCAATTAGACATAAGTGAAACTACTAAGCAAAATAAAAGTTCTGGTCCGACTGTTACTTAGCAGCTGGTGCTATTGGAGCACTGGCCCACCCTGCTCTCCAAGTGCTCGGCCCCAGGGACCCATACCGTGGTTTGCAGAATACCAGTGATGCATCTTGCAAACCTGACATCTCTCCCTGGGACATTTAACTCTCAAACCTCAGGCTGCTGTTCAGTAACTCAGGCTTAATGTATATGCCATGAACTACCAAACCACATTTTCTCTCACACCCCCCAGCCCCCAACTCTTTCCTTCTCCTGGTTTAGGGGCATTCTGCAATATACAGCCCGATATTGCCACACATGGTGTCTCCATGCTGTGGGGCTGTATATGAGCATATGCTGCAGATATAAAATGAACACATTCTTCACAGCAGTTATTTCAAAGGAAGAGAAGTTATTAATTTATTTAACTCCGACAGTGTGACAAATACATTCTGCTGGGAACACTTTTCATATACAGCCCAACACCATGATACATTCATATGACTCCTGCAAAAATATGTCAGTATAGCATCTGTATGTCATAATGCAGAATTGCTTTATTAAATAAATACCTTATACAAAGCCACTACCAAATACTTTAAAAAACCTCCCAGAATTCACTGCAACAAAGAAATGCAAATGAGCATGCAGTGTTTTATCACTCAAGACTTCCTGCTATTCATTATCTTCGCAGTGAGAGCTTCTGCATTCTATTTTAGACACAGATACTCTGTAGAGGGAATAAGATAATGACTTGATCTTTCTACATTTAACAGTTAGACAGGTAGAGCTCACTGCCAGCATAGCTCAATAGTCAAATTCAGTGGCTAAAGGGTTAATCAGAAAAGAGGCCATATTTTAAATGTGCAACTATCACCTAAAATTTATTGTTTAATCATTTTTTTTAAAGGGACACTGCAAGCGCCAGAAACACTACAGCTTAATGTAGTGTTGAAGGTGTCTAGAGCATGTCCCTGCCGAGAAAAGGCAGTGTTTTCATACTGGGAAAGCCAATTGATGGACTTCCTGTGTTCGGTGCTGTAAACATTGCAGGACCAACAGTCAGCATCTCCACGCTCTACATGGAGACGATGAATGCTACCCATAGAGATCCATTGATTCAGTGCAGCATTATGGGGAGATGCAGATTGACGCAGCACGCAATTTGTCACACTAACCTCTCAATGCTTCCGTATGAGGAAGCACAGGATTGGCTGAGATCATCAAGGCAGGGAGGTGGCCCAGCCATGCAGAGATTGGTGCAGTTATGGAGTAAATGCAAGGAAAAGGCTTATTTAATTAGTTCCTGGGCCCCTAACAATCTAAAGCAGCGTTTCCAAAACCAGTCCTCAAGACCCACCAACAGTCCAGGTTTTGTTAGTATCTCCATTGGACTAAAACAGGGAAATACATAAATCCTGGACTGTTGGTGGGTCATGAGGACTGGTTTGGGAACCACTGATCTAAAGCATTTACATAACACCACATGTTTGTATTCCTAACACTATAGTGTTCCTTTAAATATTTAGTTTTTTTATCCCCTATATTTAACAATTATGTGTTTGTGAGGTCTGATAAAAATTATAAGTAGAACTAAATTTACCCCTATCCTAGTATTGGGCACCGCCATCTTAGCTCCCTGTCAATCATTGTTCTACGCTCGGCCCTTTATACCTGTTCATTAACACACAGACCACAGAAACAAAGATAAATTAAACTATTTTTCAGAATCTCTACCTTCAATGTAATGAGTGCCTTGGTTGTGCCAAGACTGAACCTGAACCTAGTCAGTTCCTAAACATTTTTTTTTTAGGCAATCTTCGTTTTTATTGAAGCACAGTATGTATACAAACAGATAATAAAGAATTGTAAAGCTTACAGACATCAAGCCTATTGTCGCACATACGGCAATGCTCCCTCCCTATTTCCCGCCTGTGTGTCCCTACCCAGTCTCTGTGAGTAACTGAACAACCTAGCGCAACTGCGCGAACTGAACTTTAGAACATGTTCCCTGTATCTCTACGGGGGAAGAGAGGGTAAGGAAATCGAGTATTCCTCTTGTTTTCCTCCCTTTCATTCCCCCCCCCCCCTTTTCCACTTTGGGGAGGGGACTAATCTCTCCTCCTGCTTTCGTCCTGCACGGGAATTTGGCTTGAGAGAATGACTCTACGTTAAAAAGTCAGTGACCAATATCTGTCCGGGGTGTGTCGGTGTAAGGTCAGCCTACGTGGTATGGAAGAGAAGAAGTAGCGGAACAGAGAAGGAGAGGAGAGAAAAAAAAAAAAAGGGGGCGGTAGGTGAGGAAGGGAAGGGGGTTGTCGACCAGGGCGGGGGGAAGGGAAGGGGTGGATCCGCCAGCCCCCCCACACCCCGCGTCCCAACCCCGCTATTCGGCCCCCCGCTCCGGCCGTCCTGCAGGCCCACGAGCCATGTACTCGATCCAGGGAGCCCAGAGGCGGGTACATTTCTCCCCTGTACCTCTCAGTTCCGCCGTGAGGCTCTCCATGCTGTATATTTCCTCAACCTTCTCCATCCAGTTCGCAACCGTTGGGACGGTAGTTGACTTCCAGCGAGCCGGGATCAGGCTCTTGGCGGCATTCAAGAAGTGTCTCGTCAGCGACCTCTTGTAGGCCCCTAGGGGCATCGTAGTGTGGTGGAGGAGCATCGGTAGAGGCTGCATCGGGACGTCCGAGTCCAGTAGCTCTCGTAATTTCGTGTGTATTTGTTGCCAGAAGGGTACGATGAGAGGGCAGGACCACCAGATGTGCAGGTCCGTGCCGTCTTCGGACTCACATCTCCAACATCTGGCCGTTGGCGACAGGCCCATCCGAAAGAGTCGTGAGGGTGTCCGATACCAACCTGTCATGAGCTTATAGTTCATCTCTTGCAGTTTCGCACTGGTCGTACCTTGGTGCGTGAGGGTGTGTATCTTCTCCCAGTCTGAGTCCGCGAGAGTGACACCCGTGGCTCGTTCCCAGTTAGATTGGTATGGTGCCGGGGGGCTCCGGGCTGCATTCAGCAGCATGGAGTACAGTGTGGAGACCCCCTTAGGTATGCGCCTCCCCTCCGCGCAAAGAGATTCGAAGCCGGTCAGCTCCCTATGTACCAGCTGCTTGCCCGGTAGAGATTGGTAGAAATGCCGAACTTGTTGGTATCTGAATCGAGTTAGCCCAGGTAAGGGCATCATGGGGGCCAGGGCTTCCAGGGGTTTCAGCTGTCCCTCCGCACACCAGTCCCCTAAGTATGGTTTGTCCGGGCTTCCCAAGCCTGTGATGTCTCTCGGCGCCAGACCTCCCGCAATCTCGGGGTTGTAAATCACCGGGAGTAGCGGGGATGGGCTAGTCGTTAGGCCCAACCTGTAGCGGACAGTAGCCCACACTTG